TCAAGCAACAGTAAAGAATTGAAATCATACTTACACTCTATAAGTTTAATTTATAAATTTAATTGAGAGTACATTCACAATTTGACTGTCAACATGAATTTCACGGCTTTGTTTGTTCAATGAAGTGTAACACTAATACCCTATAATGGCACGTGGGTTTCTTAATCATGCCCCGCAGGCAATTAATTAAATAACACAGGTGTTGTTTAACACCTTTGCGTACACAGTGTAAATCCCTTTATCTGTCAGACAGTTAAAATTCTGTTAGAAGCCAATCTTTGTATACCGGTAGTTCAATGTACTTCAAATAAAATACAAATATTTTTCAAAAAAAAATGTACTTCTTGTGTACGAAGCTTTTAATAATGGCAACAAATTATTTCACTCAATTTACATTTAAATAAACATAAGACAATGAAAAATATTTAATATACTATTTCAATTTATCGCTACTAATAAATGGTAAAAACACTATAGTTGTGATCGTGAAAATTTTCCGTATTTTAAATTTTGATACGGTTGCAGTTTTACTTTTAGTACACGATCGCGACTTCCTAGCTTCACAAGATGGATACCGCATGATGTTAATGGATAATATTAATAGGTGAAGCAATGTTGTTTTCCTTTCTCATCAACGGATAATCAGTGGAATTTATTTTGTAAGAAAGTTTTAGAATAAATATGTTATTGTTTACCGGGGCATAAATTTTCTTTGCGAAAAATAATCAAAAAAGTTACGAAAGGGGCACCGATTTGCTTTGAAATTGACGTAAATTTTACTGATTTGGAGGCATTTTTCGTAAACTTGAGCCTTAAATAGGTCGAATTTTGAATATTGGTCGACCCCAGCGGTTCTGAGAAAAAAAAGTATCGACCTATATTCCGTAAATTATGGTAGAACAATTTGCCCCTCTAAAATGCATTATTTTTTTTGTTATTCAATCTTTAATTTTGCATTTTTTCATCTTTACATTTTTCATTCGCATCAAGAACAAAAATTAACACTTAAACCTGCAACATATTATTTCAAAGTGTTTTGCAAATTGAAGTTCTGACCTTAACAACTTTGACAAATAAATATCCGAATTAAAATTATGTCATGTTCAGTTTGAAGAATTATGATTTTAGATTCTGAAGATAATTTTTTCTGTGTGCATGTTGCCATATTGAAATAATCAGAGAGAATCATTTAAAATACCATGATTTAAACACTAATAGCCCTTTAATAAATTGATTTTTTTCAAGCATGTTTATTTAAGTAATGTTGATGTAGTTTAAATAAAAAGGGATTTCAGAGATAAAATATTGTTCCAGATGCAGAAGAAGGGTTCATTCCTTGGAAGGAACAAAGAAACTCTGGCCAAGATTGCTGAACTCACAAAGACAACTGTTAACCCCACTGGACCTAGGAATTCCAGGAACTTTGTCTTCCAGGTTATCTCCCCTGACAAAGACACAAATAAACAAGTATGTTGTGTTACTTTCTTATTACTGTAAAGCCAACTTTTATTTGTGTGCAAGAAATTCACAGATTCTGCAGTCTTCTTTAATTTGCGAATATTTATCCCCATGAACAATTAATTTGCTGTCTATGAATGGAAAAGGTTTCTTTGGTCGTGAAAATTAATTGTCACATTGCCAAATCTCGAATAATAGATGACATGAAAAAAAAAAATGGGTTATAGTATTTAAGAAGAAAACCAGAGAGTAGATCAAGCATGGGAATTCAAATCTGGTTCTTGTAAAATTGTAGAATGCAGTAAATGGCCCAACTCAGGGAAAGGCAAGAAAAGCTCATCTACCAAAACAGCATCAGCCAGTGGCAAAGAAGCCTAGACTAGAGAAGTCATCATCATTCCCACAAAACAGCATCTTCAATCATATGTAGGGGCAGTAAGTGAAACCCAGACCAAAGATATCGTTGTCTTTCCCACAAAAAAGCATCTTCCATAATATGTAGGGGAGAAAGTGAAAGAGACTTGTTCTCACAAATCAGCATCTGCAATCGTGTAGGGGGGCAGAAAGTGAAACCAAGACTTGAGAAGTCATTGTCCTTCCCTCAAAACAGAGAAAAAGTGAATTGACACGTGAAACATGGCATTTTATACTTGGATTCCATCAGCTTTGCTTGTATTTGGTTACATAGCATGCATTGAAGAGACCTATGTTTTGCTTTATGATGCTGATCATAGACTCTGTATGGCTTGACCACAGACTGGAAGACTTAGAGGATCATCAATTGAGGAAATCAGATTCAGTAATTCAGTTTTATTTTGGATAAAATGTGGGAAATTATTTTTTGAGGATTTTCTTTTGATTGATTAATACATTTTTAACGTACGCTTGAAAAAAAGGGGGATTGGTTCTTAAAAATAATGTCCTCATGTGTATGTACAGTATTTCATTTGTAAAGATGATTAAACCTTGGAGCATGAGTGTTTTAGTGTAAATACATATATATGTATATTTGGTATTTATTGACTGTATATTTTTTGTGTATGAGTGCTTTCATAGATGCATTTTATATATTTTTTTCACGAGTCCAGAAATTTTAAAAGATAGTCTCTTTTATCTGAAAATCACCCTTCATGTAATGTTTGCACTTGTATGAATTTAGATTTTAATTTGTCCAAACAGTAAATTTATATTTACTTTCAGTTTCATAATGATCTCTGATGTAAGATAAGTCAGTTTATTTACTCAGTTGTAGAAATATCTGATATTAGGTGTGACTGTAGTTTAAATGTTAAAGAAATCAATATAACTAATTTTATGAGATGTTTTTTTTTTTTTTAAAGAATGAAAATAAATATTTCCATGAAAAAAAAATTCAATTTCTTATTTGGTTTTTAAAAATGTCAGTTTATTATGAAAAGTGTTATATTTTTAGGTAAAAAAAAAATTCTCTTTGCAAATACCAGAGATGTGGTTACTCTCACTCTCATTTGTACTGTTAGTTCTGTACTAAAATTGCGTTGGTTCATTTTAGTGGAGAAAATCTGTATAATGTATTTATTAGACATTATTCCGTTGTTTTCGGTACTTAATTCATTATTTTTGAGACCTTGTGCTGATATTTACTTCTGATATTGTGTTTTGAGCTCACCTGAACAGTGACCTGTTCTATTTAAAATTTGTCCAGTGTCTGTCGACTAGTAAGTAAACTTTTTACATTTTAATCTTCTCTAGAAACACAAGGCCAATTTCAAGCAAACTTCGCACAGATTATCCTTAGGTCTGTCCTTATGTGAAAGAGATTCAGTGCTGTTCTAGTAGAAGGCCACACCCTTTTCCAAGGGGAGGTCATTAAGAAATGGTGAATATTAGGGTTGGGTCATTTACACATCTCCTAAATAACAACTTGGCTAGAAAAGAAAAAAAAAAACTTGTGTGAAAGCTTCATGACTGAGAGTAGATTCAAGTATGCATGTTCACCTTTGGAATGGGATGGACCTGAAAAGGGACATGGTAACCCCCCACCCCCCCACCCCCACCCCAAACACACACACACAAAATCTGTTAATGATGTGATGAACATTGTCATACAATCTTACATGACACATGATATAAACATACTAAATACGATGTACATGTACCTTTAATCTGGAGGTATATGCACAATCTTTGGTAGGAGTTGTTCCCAGTAATTATTGACAAAAAATAATTTTTAGTATGAAGATACAGTGAAAATTGTCTAATCCGACACCTGTGCAGTCTTGTGAATTCCCACATTAAACTTTGTCCCAATTTAACTATATTCCATTATTTTTTACACTTTGCAATCTGACAGTCTCTGTGTATTTCGACATAAAATTTGTCTCCTAGATCATGTCAGATTAAACAGGTTTCACTGTAATTGCAAATTTAAAGTAATGTTTTAAAGTGGTTCACTGATTATCTAAACAGGAAGTAAGATAATATTTATTTAAAGTTGGGTACATATTTATTATCTTACTTCCTGTTTAGAGAATCAGTGAACCACTTTAAAACATTATTTTGAACATTAAATAATTTTAAAGTAGCAGGAGGAGGCAAACTGCTACACAATATACATGTACTGGACTGGCAGAATGGTAGTACATTTATGGATTGTAATTCTCAATGTCTTTGATCTTCTTTAAGTTACGTACTACTTGACATCAGCTGTTGGGTACATCTCAAAGAGTCAGTTTCAGATTCAGCTTAATGGTGTTGGTCTCCATTTTGTCTAACGATGATTACGTAACTATACGAGGGGCATTTCAAAAGTTCTGGCAACTGTTTAATAAAAGATAAACCGTTTTACGGAAATTATTGAGTTTGATATCATTGAAAAGATCAGAAAAAAATACACACATTGTGACGTCACTTTGTAATTTTTATGACGTAATAACTCCGAAAATGACGTCAGAATATAGAATGTTTAGCATACTGACAATAAAAATGACGAAACAAAAGATAAAAGTTGATCAAATTAAAATTTTCAAGACAACGTTGCTCATTACTCGGACGCAAGTAAACGGACGCAAATGCCAGTTGGTGGAATGTTTACATAGACTACAATCTATCATATGGTATTTTATTTTGGAGATTTTCTTGTTCTGAAATGGTTTTAGCGAGTGTCAAAATTAGCATGGTTTTATCGAATCTCGCTCAAACTTTTGCGTAAAAGAGACCTAAATGTGAGAAAAAGACAAAGTTGACAATCAAAGAAAAATAGGCGATCCTGTTACAAAATTCGATGGCATTAATTCGTCAGGTGTTTTAACCAGAATTGTGGGATCGATGAAGGCTCAAGAGAAGTTAAGTTTAGTGTGCCCAAAATTTTCTCGTAAAATCCAAAATGGCGGCGGCGCAGTTGAAACCCCACCGTACCTCCACATATTCGCAAATTTTACTGCATGGAAAATAATAAGACTTTACATGTCTAAGTAATTTATATTCATTTCTTGGATTCAAAAGTCAAAAGCAGTGGTGAGTTTTGGGGCGCCAAAGTTGAATTTATATGAAAAAATACGCACAGAATCCAGTCGGGGACAAGATTTAGTACAGTTTATTCGTAAACGGTAAGAGTCCTGTCACTCAAAATATATTTGATGAAAACTGCATTAATATACTTCAGTTTAATATAGAACATGTTTTATTTCAAACAATGGAGAGCTATATAAAAGACCGAAAAGTCAGCCGTATCATGTCAGTAAAATTTTTTAATGAATGTCTATGAAAGCAAAACCGGACATAAACCGTGCTCGTAAACAAACTAAACAATGAATAATGGAATTGCTGATAAATAGTATCATAGTCATACTCTAGCTCTTTTCAAATTAAAATTTTCTTTGAAATAATTTTTCAAATAAGTCTTTGACAGAACTTTTACGATCGTCTCATGTGGATAAAAACGCGACTTTTCAGTATGCTAAACATTCTATAATCTGACGTCATTTTCGGAGTTATTACGTCATAAAAATTATAAAGTGACGTCACAATATGTGTATATTTTTCTGATCTTTCCAATGATGTTAAACTCAATGATTTCCGTAAAACGGTTACTCTTTTATTAAACAGTTGCCAGAACTTTTGAAATGCCCCTCGTACATTTATGTCCAATTAATACGAGTTTCTAAGTTCTCTGCAATCACTTTGATAGTTAACCTGGTTAAGTATTATGGGTTATTATCTTGAGCATATCAGAATGCACTAACTTCTTTGTATGGTAGAAAGTTTGACATTTACTCTGGATTATACTTAGTCTTAACTGCTATCATTATACAGTGGGTAACCGTCTTGACTATTAAGGTCATACAACATGTAAATGCATTGTCTGGTTTGTAATGTGATCTAACATTGGTATTGGGCAAGTTTTAGATATTGAATATCTATTAGATTAAGTGTAAAATGGCACGTTAATACATGAATCATGGAAATGATTTAAATGACTTTTAGGGGTTTCTCTAAATAACTTGAAAACAAGCAGATTTCTAAAAAGAAAATTTGGAGAGGTTTTTTATACCCCCCGCAAACGAAGTTTGGGGGGGTATATAGGAATCACCTTGTCCGTCCATCCGTCTGTCTGTGCAATCGTGTCCGGTCCATATCTTTCTTACAGAGGGACATTAGAATCTACTACTCCACACTAAGATTGCTCATGAGCTAAGGGTGTGCCATGACCTTGACCCAAGGGCATTTGGGAAAGTTCAAGGTCACTGGAAGAAAATTTTCATAAATCATGTTTGATACATATCTTTTATAGATAAACTTGGTAGGTTCTCATTTCACACAAAGATTGCCCATGACCCAAGGGTGTGTGATGACCTTGACCCAAGGGCATTTGGGAAAGTTCAAGGTCACTGGAAGAAAATTTTCATAAATCATGTCTGATACATATCTTTTATAGATAAACTTGGTAGGTTCTCATTTCACACAAAGATTGCCCATGACCCAAGGGTGTGTGATGACCTTGACCCAAGGTCATTTGGAGAAGTTCAAGGTCACTGGTAGAAAAATTTCATAATTCGTGTCCGGTCCATATCTTTCTTATGGATAAACTTGGTAGGTTCTCATTTCACACAAAGATTGCCCATGACCCAAGGGTGTGTCATGACCTTGACCCAAGGTCATTTTGGGAAGTTCAAGGTCACTGGGAGAAAAATTTCATAATTCAAGTCCGGTCCATATCTTTCTTATGGATAAACTTGGTAGGTTCTCATTTCACTGAAAGATTGCCCATGACCCAAAGGTGTGTCATGACCTTGACCCAAGGTTATTTGGGGAAGTTCAAGGTCACTGGAATAAAAATTTCATAATTCGTGTTTGATACATATCTTTATTATGGAAAAACTTACTTCTGAAAAACCCAGCGGGGGGTATTTTGTCCAGTTTGGACAGTTCTAGTTTTTAGCTCTACTGGTCAGAGACCAGAAGAGCTTATGCGATAGTAATGCGTCCGTCGTCCGTCCGTCTGTCTGTCTGTCTGTCTGTCCGTCTGTCTGTCCGTCTGTCTGTAAACAATTTTTCAAAATGCTACTCCTCCTACAATTTTAGTCTGATTTCAATATTACTTGGCACACAAGTAGACTACACTAAGATACATAGAATAGTGCATCGGTTTTTGATTTCGGTGATCGGTGTTGCCATGGTTACTAAAAATAGAATTCTCTGTGAAATTCCTTTAAAACACTACTCCTTCCACAGTTTTGGTCTGATTTCAATATTACTTGGCACACAAGTAGACTACACTAGGATACATAGAATAGTGCATCGGTTTTTAATTTCGATGAACGGTGTTGCCATGGTTACTAAAAATAGAATTTTCTGTGAAATTCCTTTAAAACGCTACTCCTTCTACAGTTTTGGTCTGATTTCAATATAACTTGGCACACAAGTAGACTACACTAAGATACATAGAATAGTGCATCGGTTTTTGATTTCGATGAACGGTGTTGCCATGGTTACTAAAAATAGAATTTTCTGTGAAATTCCTTTAAAACGCTTCTCCTTCTACAATTTTAGTCTGATTTCAATATAACTTGGCACACAAGTAGACTACACTAAGATACATAGAATAGTGCATTGGTTTTTGATTTCGATGAACGGTGTTGCCATGGTTACTAAAAATAGAATTTTCTGTGAAATTCCTTTAAAACGCTACTCCTTCTACAGTTTTGGTCTGATTTCACTATTACTTGGAACGCAAGTAGACTACACTAAGATACATAAAATAGTGCATCGGTTTTTGATTTCGATGAACGGTGTTGCCATGGTTACTAAAAGTAGAATTTTCTGTAAATTCCTTTAAA